GGCTGTCCTGGTGTGGGGAGTGAAGGGGTGGGCAGGACTACCCTAGGGTCAGCCTCAAGGTCTCTGGGCTTAACGAAGTAAGCCCTTTGTCACCAATGTCCCCTGGAAGGGCTGACAGGAAGGTACCAGACACAAGAACCGGCTCTGACATCCCTCCGCCCATCCGCCGCCACCACCGAACGGCACATTCAATCTCAAGGCCACAGCTACTCTCCCACTGCCAGGTACCATCCCCAGTCTCTCAGGTCCCAATCACATCCCTCTCCAAAACTCGCATGCACCACCCACCCCTGGCCATGTGCACAGAACTGAGCCAGCCAGCGAGAGCCTGGTCTTCTGACACCCTACTATGGCAGGTCCCCTCCAGGCCCCCACAGATGACCCCAGACACAACCACGCCAAACATCAGATCTCCTCCCCGACACCTCCCAGGGGCCACAAGGCCCTTTCTGTGTTCACCCCCAGCAGAGATCAGGGTCTCACCCTAAGGTGCTGGCCTGCCTGTGTGAGCTGTGAGGTTCTCTCATTCCTCTTAGCCCCACCCCCCATCCCACCCACCCCCACAAGCCCAAAATATGCCACTCACTTTGCTGCCATGGCAAGGGGGTACTGGAAGCCATACTGCTGCTGGGCGGAGGGGGTGGTGGAGGCTGCTGCTGCTGCTGTTGCCATGGAGGAAGAGGACCAGTAGGCGGGGGAGGAGGTTGCCCACTGGGTGGCGGCGGCGGTGGCGGCATCATGCCCATAGGCGGTGGCGGCATCATACCTAGGTGAAGGAAAGGGTCAGGCCTCTGGGAGGAGAGATTTGGGACAGGCCCCCCTTCATTCCCAGGCCTAGGTGATGCCCCAAAGCGAGATGTCAGGCTCCATTACCTTTTCCTTGATGCAGGCGATAGACCCCAGAGCCCACAGGCGTACTTCCCAGGTACTGATCTTGATGGAAGGAAAGAGCAGGGACTTAGCAGGACATTTGAACTGGCCAGGGAAGTCGCCCCCCACCAATAGCTTTTACAGTCACACATCCTGCAGTCACTGCCCTTACAAGAGCAGTTCTATGAGAGGCCTGTGCTGACCCCACACAGAAACCCTTTCCTGAATCAGATGGAGTCTTGCTCCTCCTGGAGCCCAAGCCTTGACAAGAGACCCAGTGCAACACTCGGCCACTTTAAGAACTGCTGCTAGTTCACAGCAACTAGCTCTAACTCCTGCTTATCCCAAAGCCCCAAGGTTTCTGGTCTGACACTTACTTACCCATTGGAGGAGGGCCATGGTGCCCAGGTGGGTGGGGGCCCTGGTTCATCGGTGGTGGTGGTGGCTGCATCCAAGGAGGTGGGGGTCCATTAGGGTTGTGCTGCATGGGATGACCACCATGCCCACCTGTGAGGCTGGGTAATGGGTGTGGGAAGCTGTGGGGGCCGCCTCCAGGCCCACCAGGACCACCTCCATGCATGCCGTGGTAGGGCCGACTCTCTGAAGGGCCAGAATTCATCCAGGGTGGGCGGCTCTGGGTGGTAGACATGAGAGACTACGTGAGAGCATTTCCTGCCAACGTCCCTGCCTGCTCCCCCTGGTGGCAACATTGTTCTCTCGGCTATGCCAGAGGACCAGAACACAAGGACAGAATCTTCCCAGAGTGAGATCCCCAAACATCTGACATCCCGAAAGAACAATGTTGCCAGCCATGTCCACAATCTGCTCTGCCCAAAATCCCGGGCCATAACCCCCTCCTCTGAGGAAGATGGGGACCAGGCCATGAGAACCAGCGCCTGAAGCTCACCGGTGGAGGTGGGTTGTTGGCGGGAGCAGCAGGCCTAGGCGCACTGGCCAGAGGTGTGCTGGCAGGCCCAGAGGTGGAGCCCACAGATGCTGGCACAGGAGCTTCACCCAGTTCAGCCATGAGGGACAAATATTCTTTATCCATCCGAGCTTTATCCTGAGCTGACTGCGGGTCACCAGGCCTGAAGGTGGGGTGTGGGTCACAAAGAGAGGAGAAATCATTAAGGAGGAAACTTTTACCCTGAGGAATTTACACAAGAAAGCTGAGGAACTGAATCATCCTTCCTAACACATTCTTTAAAACAGCCTCATCGGCTCTTCAATTGTGTGCCCAACTGGGTATCTGGGGTTACACATCGCTCTGCCACAGCAGAGATCAGGGAGACGGTGAGCACCAGACCATAACCAGCCATGCAGACAGGAAAGTGCAGGTTCTTCTAAGTAGCAACTTTCATCAAGTTCTGCATTCCCAGCCCTGGCCAGTGTGGCTCCGTTGGTTAGAGCATCATCCCATGCACCCAAGGATCACAAGTTCGATTCCCAATCAGGGCAGATATCCAGGTTGTGAGGAGGCAGCCAATCAATGTTGTTGCTTCTCTTTCATGGATGCTTCTATCTTTCCCTCTCTCCCTTCCTCTCTCTGTAGTCAATAAAAACATTTAAACAAAGAATTCTGCATTTCCAGTCTGAGGGAAGGAAATCTATGCAAGACTGGAACACAGCTACCAGGACTTCCTTAACAAAGCCACTCCAAGTGAAAAAATGTTGCTATCAAATGCTGGCTTGCAAAACTGGTCAAAATCCTTCCATTATTTGGTGTTCTTAAACCAATCTTCGGCAGCAAAAACGGCATTTAACATTGAGCTACAGTAAAAGCACTTATACCCTGCCCTGGCTGGTGTAGTTCGATTGGTTGGAGGTCACAGGTTCAATTCCCGGTCAGGGCACACACCCAGGTTTTGGGTTCGATCCCTGGTTGGGGTGCATATTAGAGGCAACTGATCATTGTTTTTCTCACATCGATGTTTCTCTCTCTCTCTCCTTTCCCCTTTCTCTAAAGTCAATGAAAACATCCTTGGATGAGGATTTAAAAAAAAAAGGGGGGGGGGGAGACCAACTCCCCATACCCAGAATGGAAGTTTACAGTTTTCCTGGGCTCAGGATGAACAACAAAATAGGAGTGTTCTGCACAGGCTGTTTCTAATCATCCTGGACTTTAAACCACACCATTACATGCACAGAAAGGAAAGCTTCTCTTGGATCCACTAGTTAATAGCAACCAGCCAATGTGCTGAAGAGCTTCCTGTACACCACAGGACACCAGCAAGCCACGACTGCAGCCCTCCCTCACCTTTGGAATTTGCAATCAGAAGCAATGTGGCCAGCCCCTCCACACTTGGTACACACTGTAGTATTGGTAATGCTACGGGTCTCTGAGCTCTGCCAGGGTCTTAAGATCCTGTTGAGAGAAAAAAAAAGTCAACTTAAGGGCTATAGCCAACCCCCTCCTACTTCAATAGATGCTTCAGGTCTCTGGTGCACTCCCCTCTAAACTGATCACATACCTGTTATCATCTTCCCTAAGGGTCCCATTCAAGCGAGCCAACTCCCGAAGTTGCATCTTCCGAAGGTCATTCTGGTCCTCAGGGGTCTCAATCACTTGCTTCAAGATGTTTCTTATCTAATAGACACAATGGACAGTTATGTTCAGTGCTAAGACAACCACCTAGATTTCTGGCAAGAGGTTTCCTTTCTGGTTCCCTCACCTGCTCTACTGCTTTCTTCACATTCTCCATGGTGTTGGCGGTAACCAGGGCATGAAGTGGCTCGTCTTCTCCTGGCAACATCTGGCCATCTTTGCGCCCAACTTTCCCTTCTTTCACAGACCCTTTCCCCCGGATCATTATCTTCGCATTACACTCCTTCTCTATGTTCTTCAATGTGTTCCCTCTATCAGATGCAGAAAAGGTTGAGTTGTTATATGCAAATTCACATGCCAAGGGGACAGAGGTGGGCTGATCAGGCACTGGTAGGAAATCATGAGTGCAGCGAATTGGATTTCCCCACCAAGAAATCAATGATCTCTAAGTTAAGATCAGCCACAGCAATCCTTAAGATTTGACTTCCCTGAAGTAAAATGAGGATGTTAAAGAGATTTTCTCACAGGAAGGCATGAACTCAGCCAAAGTGAAGGTCCTACCCAAAACAGGAAGGTGCCACCAATGGCACCCAATTTGGCACAAGATAAACACACCTCACAGGTTCTTAGGAATTCTCTATCCCATAGGCTAGAAGTTACTTACCTGGGCCCAATTAGCAGCCCCACAAAGTTGATTTCTGGATACTCATCTTGTGGAATCATTACTTTATCGCTCACACGTGTTGCTGGAGGTCTAAGGAAGAAAAGACTCATTGACTCTGGTGATTTGAGGTAAGAGGTGAGAAGTTAGTACCAAATGTTTCACCATGTCACCTGGCTGGCGTGGCTCAGTGATTGAGTGTTGGCCTAGGAACTAGGAGGTCAGGGTTCAATTCCCAGGCAGGGCACATGCCCAGGTTACGGGCTTGATTCCCAGTGTGGGGTGTGCAGGAGGCAGCCCATCAACGATTCTCTCATCATTGATGTTTCTCTCTCTCTTTCTTCCTGAAATCACTAAGTCTATTTTTTTTTTTAATGTTCTACCATGTCACACACATTCTTCATGTGTCCTTATCCCAGACAACCCAGCCCCCCTGCTTACTTGTAATCTGCAGGTGGCTTGAAGTCAGGGTTGAGAGCAACCATTTCTGTGATGAGGTTATGCCGCTCCTCTTCCAGCTTCTTTCGCGTGCGGAACTCACGGGTGTTAAGCCGCTTCCCCTCGCTATTGTAGATGGGCTCAGGGGAAGGGGACCTGTGGGAAACAGACCACCGTTACTGCTCTACCTTAACTATTCTGTCATCCCCACATGGGCTATAATAAGTCTTTCCCAGCCCCTCTGCCTCAGATCCTAACACAACACTCTTCGGAGGAACTGACCATAACGTGTGCTATTCAAGATCGTGTGGAATGGGGAGATGGAAGCTTAACATTAGGGGGACAGGGGTGTGTGTGAGAAAGGCAAAAAAAAATGGTTTTGCTTTTTTCTAAAAATGATGAGGGTTTAGTCTGTCCTTTGGAAAAACCTCTCGACTGCAAACAAGGACAGTACTATCTGGAGTCTTCTTGCCAAATATGGATTTTCCATCATTTGCAAAAAATTTTACAATATTACAACTTTATGAACCACAAAAACCCCAAGTTTACGTAAAACGTGAACTCTCGCAGAGTTCACGCCCTGTCAGGAAGTGTATGTCCCCTCCACATAGTGAATATGAACTCTTCAACCCAATGCAACTAGGACTCAAGGCTAGTGCAGCTACTTGGCCCCCACAATGGAGAGATGGTGCAAGGCTTCGTCTCTGCTTTTCCTTCAATGGCCTGACTGGCTGTGTCCAAGGCCCAGGAGTCAACCTGTTTTCTGGCTGTTCGATGTTGGGGAGTCTGGGTAAAGAAAAACGTTAAAGTGCTAACGCAGCTTCTAAGAGAGGCTGCAAATGAGACTTGGTCAAGTACTTGTCTAAGGTCTGAACCTGCAAACCGCAGGGGGAAACCTGTGATTCTCCACCAGAGTTTACAAGTCCAGAAAGCAGATTTTCTCTCTCTCTGCTTTTCAAGGAGTAAAATGCTGTTGCTACAAGTAAAAAATAGTAATGATAAAATGGTCAGTTTACCACAGCTGGATTTTGCGGTAATAAAAAAAGAGAAGTTACACTCCTAGAATTCTAAGTTAAGATTACAAAAAGGACCATAGCTTGATATTCTGATTGAAAATTTAGTAGCAGCTGCAAGAAGGGAAGAGACCATGTGGATCAGGTTATTTAAAAAACATCCTGAAAGTAGTCAAGACTCCTACACCCTTGGTTTAGTTGAGAGAACCTTGCCTAGTTGGAGAGCAAGGACTGAACTCGGCTGCTCCCACTGTCTTCAGCCTAAAGGGAACCATGTCATCTGTTACACACACGATGGAATAAAAGGTCAGGTTTGTTCATGGCTAATGACGGCTAAATGACACCTCCGTTTCTAGCATTTGTATAAACTGTTAGCACAATCCAGTAATAGTGAACAAAAGCGAGCATACCCCAGTTTATTAGACTATCACCTTATACATTTAAATCTACAACCAATTTAAAAACATTTTTAACTGTGCAACTTAAGCAACATCAAAATGGCATAAAGTGGCTTAATATTGAAAATACACCTTCTTAAGAAATAATCTTATTAAGTTAAGAAACTCATGCATTTCCCTCCAACCTGGGCTCAAAAGAAAAACCAATCAGGTATTAGGGATTCTTTCAAACTGAATACAAGCGAGAGTGAGTCTGCTCTGGTTTTATTTCTAGCATGCTTGACATTTCTAATTCCCCCCTGGTAACTGTCTAGAATTAAGCATTTCTAGCTAATCACCAAAATGAGTTTTATCAGTACAAATTGGTCATTTAAAGGCCTCACAACAGTTTAATCTCCTCCCAAATTATGAATGTGAAATACAAAGGCTGATATTCTAAAGGTTAGATTGGCCCAACTTCTTCACTTTGAGTAAGCATCGTATAGATCAACTAAATTCTAATCCCAGTTCTCCAGGAAGCAAAGGTTTGTTAAAAATTCAACCCTTTGAGGAATTGCCTGGTAACCTGTAGGTATATTATTAAAGGGAGGGAAAAGCCAAAAATGGCACTTAACAATTGTGGTCTGCAACCTATAATGCAAATCTAAAAAAAAAAAAAAAGCCAAGAAATATGAAACACAACCCCCTCCAACCAAAATCTACAGGTAAAAAAATAATATAAACAAATTAAAGTCATTAAACTTGTTTCCTAGCAAGGGGCAGCAGAAAGATGTATAAGAGTGGCTTCTAAAACCAATACATCTTCCTGATTTAACAAGTTACTAATTGGGTAACAAAAACCAAAAACACTACATTTTAAAGCAAAATGCTTTCAACTATGCTACACGCACTAAGAGAAATTTCATTGAGAGGAAGGCATATTGCCCTTCTAAGTAAATGGACCAGGTTTTAACTGTTCAAAGACCACAATCAGCCAATAAAATTACTGCTTAAAAAATTCACTTCCACCTGGCATGGTTTAGTGGCTGAGCATTGACCGATGAACCAGGAGGTCATGGTTCAATTCCAGGTCAGGGCACATCCTGGGTTGCAGGCTTGCTCCCCAGTGTGGGGCGTGCAGAAGGCAGCTGATCAACAATTCTCTCTCATTATGTTTCTCTCTCTTCCTTTCCCTTCCTCTCTGGAATAAAAAAAATATATATTTTAAAATTCACTTCCCTTGGCCTTTTTTTTCACAGGTGAAATTTTAAACTGAGATAGCATGACCACAGCTGTTGGAGGACCACACTCCCCTTAAAAAGGGGGAGGAGGGGTGGTGGTAATGTAGGGATGGTAGCTAGCCTTCCCAAAACAGGTGGGAATATTCTGACCCCTCCTAATGCCCCAGGCAATGGCCAAGGCTGAAAATTAACTGGCAGTGAAGGAAATTGGTTAGAAATCTCGTCTATTTTAAAACCATCTCAAAACCATGAGCAGGAACAATATAGCAATGAGCTGAGCAGACTGAGTTTCTGGCCTGCTCAAATTCAGTGATGCTTAAAAATATTCTTAATTCCTGCATCGTGCACCTGTGAGAAAAACCTCTACACCCTGGGCTTTCAGCCAAAGCAGGTATTGAAAAGGCTGGTAATGGCCCACTCACTGTCCTTATGGGTGGGCAAGTCAGGTTAAAATATACATGCTTACAAATTAGAAACCAGTTATCCATTTTCCTGTAACTTTTTATTCTGCTAGTAATTAAGTTTCATTCCAATTTCTAGCTGATGACCACATATATTGCTAATTAAACCCTACTCCCCAGAATGATCAGAGTACCAGTCGTCTTACTAGGATTTTATTGCACTGACACAACATGTTGCCACCAGTAAAACGTTATTGAGAAAAAGGTAAAAGTGTTACTGTCAGCTGGTTAAAACTGTTTCCCAACCTGTCCTCAGGGTTAGGGGGGATGCCCAGGTCTCCTGTGCGCAGTTTACGAGTCAGGTCTTCTATCTGCAGTTGCACTGGAAGAAACCAGGTTAGGAAAGAAAAAAAAGGATGGAAAAAAGACAATGTTACCAAAAAACATCTCAAATCTCAACAACAAGCATGAAGAACTCGGAGACTTTGAAAGGGACGACTGATCAGTGAACACATTGAGGCAAAAACTCCCAACCATCTATCGGCAGGAGTCCATTTACATCTATAGGTATTTTTCACTTCAAAATGGTTATCACTTAAGGAAGCAAACAGTTTGTTTGAAGAGGGGTTAGCAGTATAGACTGTTCACTATGGCTAATATCAAAGCATTTATCAGGTGTTTCACCTCTCCCCCTACCAAGGTTTTAACAATTGGCACCCAGAACCAAACCATGTATGTTATCACCGATACCCTGTTCCCACCAAATTACTTTGAGGGCAAGACTCTTGAGAGCTAATTTTTCCTCATAGTATTAAGCATAGCCCCAAATGAGACCCAATTAACATGGGACAAGGAAAAATACCAGTTGAGCAAATATTATTTTCATTGATACAAGGTTAAAAATTCCTTAAAGAAGACAGTTAATAACCAATTCAACACTTCACAGTTCATACATACTTTCTGTACACCAAATCCGTACTAGTAGGAATCTCCCAATACTTTCTGCTTTTATTCAAATTTTAGATGACAATCCATATACCTTAACAAACCAGTTATGGTAAGTCTATTTTTAGACTTGCTCCTTATGTGGGAGTAAAAGTAGGGGTATAGAGGATTGAAGGTGTGGGTCAAGGAGAATGTGTGACCCTCTGACCTTGACAAATGAGACTGTACATGAAAAAGAGAAATGAGGGTTTTTCACAAAATTCAGACTCCAGGGAAATGCTACCCAGCTGATTTTACTCAAAATAACAGGACCCGAAGAGCCAAATCACTTTCTTCAGCATGCTGAATCACCACTTATTTCTTACCTCTGTAGCATCTGAGAGTTTTGAACAGCTTAAGAGCAAGCCTTATTGGCTGGGTTAAAGTTGAAATAGCTCCAGGACAGGATTAATGTACGTCTACCCCAAGATACCCTTCTAAATTTAAATACACCCCAGAGCCCTAGCCGGTTTGGCTCAGTGGGTCAAGCATCTGCCTGCAGACTGAGGGGTCCCAGGTTCGATTCTGATCAAGGGCACATACCTTGGTTGCAGGCTCAATCCCCAGCCCACCAAAACACGTGTGGGAGGCAAACCAATCCATGTCTCTCTCACATCAATGTCTCTCCTCCTCCCTTCCACTCTCTCAAAAAATAATCAATGGGAAAATATCCTCGGATGAGGATTACCAAACAAACAAATAAATAAATAAATACATCCCACAGGGGCTGTATCACACACCCATTAAAACTCTGAAGAAAGTAAAATCTACAATATTAAAAAAACATGGGGGCATTCTGTATAAGGCAGTGTGTACTGTGAGACAAGACAATGGCTCCTAAGCTTTTTCCCCCTTCTCCCCCACCTAAGCTCTTTTATGCCAGAAAAGTTCTGACTTGGCAGTTAAGTTCTAAGAACAACTAAAAGTGAAAGCCACCTTCCTATGGGTGTGTGTGTGTGACAATTCTCTTAACTGGTCTGCAGGGATAGTGGGGTCTAATGTGAGGAAATAGCTGGCACTTAAATCAAGGTTGCTATATTCCTTGGAGTGGAACTCTACATTAGCCCAGGCTTTGATTCTAGCTACTTTGATTCTAGCTATAAATTAGCTATAAATAGCCCTTAGGGCTCAGTGCATTAACTCCTTCCACAGGAAGAGAACTGGAGATGTAAAGAATGAGTTTGTTTTCCCATTTTCTAAGTCAGCTTGTTATTCTTGGGATACTGCTCCACAAAGGACATTTTCACAAGGCTGTGAAGATTCAGATCTGTCTAACATGAGAGAGACTTAAGAGACTGGGCCGGAGTAGATAGGAACAGTGGGGGAAAGAAAATATTGTGAATATTAGACAATTCCAACACCTCAAAATTCTCAGCAGTCTAAAAAATGTAAGACACTATGATCCTCAAGAATAACAAGCCAGCCTTGAAGCTTTTTATTTGTGAAGGCCATAGCCTCATAGGTGTAGGAAACCATTGCCCTAATTTACTCCAAAGGGGGTGTTTATTTGGTTAGTAGGAAATGTTTATCAAGTGAATTTTGAGACAGCAGCAGAGGTACAAAAATAAAGGTCAAATTGCATTAAAAACCTTGTATTTTAAAAAAGGTAATTTTGAGGTTAATTTCATTTCCAATGTGGATAGTCATTAATTCTTAAAAGTTCCCAATAGGTTAAGATTCCATATCCAAGTAGTATCCCTTTCCCAGCAGAGTTCTTTAGTGGTAAATACAAGAGCCCTCATTTTAAGACAGCTCTCCAAAGACCAAACCAGGAAAAAAATTGCTGAAGGAAAGGTTAAACTCAACAAAATGATAAAAAGGGGGTGAACTGTAAACACTTTCAGAACAACTTTTTGATTAAACTGAGTATTTTTCCTTTCAGAAAGTACCTATAAAAAGTAAAAGACCATTTTTTAAGGGAAGGGAGAAATGTAAAATTATGGTGAAAGGCCATGCTGTGAAAAAGGTACTTGGTTTACAATACCTGCAGTGTTCTCCACTGGGGCCGTGTCCACAGAGGCATAAGACACTCACCTCACCAACTGGCAATAACAGCAGCTGAAGGTGTGGGGTCCTAAACTGGGGGCTACTCTTAACTCCTAAGTGGGCCCCTCTACTTTCCTGGTACTCATGGAGAACACTGCTGTTACCAACAGACCATAACAAGGAGCTGCAAATACAGGACCCACACAGCAAAAACTGAAGAATTATTTCAAAGTCATGAAAGTACACCTGGCCATACATTATCTCAAAATAGAAAAATTTAAAGTCTCAAAACTAAACGAATAAAGTGTCGCTCAGAATATTAACAATCTGAAAATGCATTTGGGTGCAGAACGTGTATTTACCTATATAAGCTCTCTCTTGTTCCCGAGTGAGTCCAGGGGGGATAACTGTAGGCATTCCTGGAATCACCGTTTTCTGTTCCATTGTGTCTTGATTCCAGCGGCTCCTCTTCCGCTTCTTACTTGGGAAGTCTAAAGGAAATAAAGTTCGTAAGATGCAAACACAACCACCAGAATGACTACCAAGAAGCAGTTCAGGATACTTAGGACATTACACGTAGCTCAGCAGACTATGAAACTGAGAACTTGACCTAAAACATAAATAGCAAAGATTGGAAGCCAAACCTGAGAAATCAGAGACAGGTGGACCTGAGTCCAAAAAGTTAACATTTCAGAGAAACTGTGATGTGAACAGGTAACAAATCCTTTTTTAAAAGAATAGTTTGATTTTTAGAGAGGGAGAGAAACAGCACTGTGAGTGAAACATGGATCAGCTGCCTCCTGCAAGCCCCCCACCAGGGATCAAGCCCGAAAATCCCGGCATGTGCCCTGATGGGAAATGGAGCTGGCAAACTTGTGCATTGGACAACGCCCAACCGAGCTACACCGACCAGGGCAACAAGGTAACAAATCTTAATGGGTAAAGTTTCAGTTAGGGAAATAAAGTGCTGAGAAGATATATATTAATATATAATATACTACATCATCCTTGAATAACCAAACAAGTTTGCAACCTGCTGGCTCCTCCCATCACCACCTTCCCAACCTTTCTAACTAGGCCAGATCTCCATAAATCTATAGCAAGTTTCTTCAAGACTACCTTTTTTTTTTAATGTTTTCTTTCTTTTTTTCTTTTATTTATTGTCTAAAATTTTACATGTCTCCCTTTTCCTTCTTTTCTCCACCCCCCCAAGACAACTTTTTTCTTCAAAAGTTTGGTTGACATCAACAATTTTCCTGGCCATTTGTACAGTGTCTGACACCTTAAGTTCAAAAAAATCCCTGGCCAGAGTGGCTCAGTGGTTGGAAGTCACCCATGCAGAGGTTCAATCCCCAGCCCAGGTCATAGGGGAGGCAAACCGATCAATGTTTCTCTCTCTCTCAAAAAAAGTAAGTTTAAAAAAGAACAAACTATAATAGCAAAACCCTTCTTCCCTGATATATAAGCATAAATCCCCTACACATTTGGTACATACAAGTCATCCTACTTCCCAGGGGGCCCAGGCCCCGGGTGAAGCCCCAACTAGAAAACAGAATTCCCCCCCCAACCCCCAAAGAGCCACAGGAGATGAGCCAGCAACGTCCTGAAGACTCCCCACTCTTTCGTTCTCCGTAGTGAAGACCCTGCCTTACAGTCGAAAAAGCTCTTCTTGGTACTTTTCTCCCTCTGACTCCTCTACAACCAGGAAGGGGTTCCACGTCATGACTTCACTCTTTCACACCCTCGGGACATGCACTCCCAGGACCCAATCCACCCACTAGACCCCCTCCACACCTCTCCCCTCCACCTGGGGCTAGAGAGCAACTGCGGACCCCCGCCCCCAGCTCTCATTCGGGCCCTACAGCCTGGCAGCGCACTGCGCCTGCGCACAGCAAACCTCCCGCTCAGCCGCCCCCCCACGCCTTTTCCCCAGCGCGCGTGCGCACTCAAGGTACAAGAAACACCCTTCTTTCACAGACCCTTTCCCCCGGATCATTATCTTCGCATTACACTCCTTCTCTATGTTCTTCAATGTGTTCCCTCTGGGCCCAATTAGCAGCCCTATAAAGTTGATTTCTGGATACTCATCTTGTGGAATCATTACTTTATCGCTCACACGTGTTGCAGGAGGTTTGTAATCTGCAGGTGGCTTGAAGTCAGGGTTGAGAGCAACCATCTCTGTGATGAGGTTATGCCGCTCCTCTTCCAGCGTCTTTCGAGTGCGGAACTCACGGGTGTTAAGCCGCTTCCCCTCACTATTGTAGATGGGCTCCGGGGAAGGGGACCTGTCCTCAGGCTTAGGGGGGATGCCCAGGTCTCCCGTGCGCAGTTTACGAGTCAGGTCTTCTATCTGCAGTTGCACTATATAAGCTCTCTCTTGTTCCCGAGTCAGTCCAGGGGGGATCACTGTAGGCATTCCTGGAATCACCGTTTTCTGTTCCATTGTGTCTTGATTCCAGCGGCTCCTCTTCCGCTTCTTCCTTGGGAAGTCCAGCGGTGTGGCATTCGCTCCGGTAGCCATGGCGCCCCCGGGACCCACACCAGCGGCTCCTCTTCGGTGGCTTCTCCTTAGCGAACCTTCCGGGGGGAGGGGACTCGACTGTGTTGCCGCAGAATGTTTGGAGCCCGGCTGGCGGCGGGCGGGAGACGCACAAAGAGGGAGGAGAGAGCCCGCTACGGGGGGCAGGGGCGGCCTGGGGGCGACGGGCCGAAGCCTGGATTGGGCCGGGCTGAGGCAAAGGGTCGGATCGGCGGCCTCCGATTGGCGGAGCTTCCGTCCTTCTCGCTGTGCGCTGGGATTGGCCGGACCGTTAGGCCTGGCGAGGAAATGGCGGCCGAGGCTGGAGAGCTGGGAGGTGTCGCAGCGCGCACTTCATTTGTTACTGCGCGAACTGAGCTCGGCGTCCAGGAAGGAGGGCTGAGGGTGGGGCAAACTATGACGTCGGCTGCAAGCGCGCTCTCATTGGCTGAACTTGATAGGCTTAAACTCGGTTGCGTCGTAGTACCCGGAGATTGGCTGTCGCGTTTTCTATTTGGGAGTAAGCGAGAGGTCGCGGCGGAAAAGCCGCGGCCAATGAGCTTTACGGCGGGGGAGGAGTGCGCATGCGTAGACTGGGCAAAGTCGCCTCCGCCCCTCGCTTCACCTTCGTTCCCGGGTCTGGAGCTTGAGCGCCAAGTGACGTCAGTCCTCGATTCCCTCGTAACCCGGAACCGGGGTAGGGGGCGGGTCCGGTGCGTGTCCGTAAACGGGGTCCGTTGACACCACAGGTAGAAAAGGACATCCTGTTTTCTTTGGAAAAAAAAAGTCGCTATAAAGTAGACGCTAATTGAAGGGTTAAAAACCTGAGCTGATGGAACATATAACCTTAGGCGGAAAAGAATGTAAATTTGTCAATTCTAAAATGAGTTTACAAATATGCAGTTCCATTAGACTCCCAACGTGTGGTTCACTAAATCATCTTAAAATCATTTGGGAAAATAGTGGGGAAACTTGTAAACAAGGTTGAGGAGGAACTTGCCTTTCCAGATAATACACAGTGTAAAAGACAATAATAAAACTATGTGATGTAGGAATGACGTCAGTGAAACAGCCCTGAAGTAGATTCCCCGTTTATGGGTAAAAATACCACAAAGGTCGTATTTCAGTTCAGTAGGGAAAAGATTTAGCTAATGTTACACAGTCCTGAATAGAAACAATGAAACCACTTCCAGTGGTTCTCAACCTTCCTAATGCCGCGATCCTTTAATACAGTTCCTCATGTTGTGGTGCCCCCCAACCATAAAATTATTTTTTTTAAATATATTTTATTGATTTCTTACAGAGAGGAAGGGAGAGAGATAGAGAGTGAGAAACATCGATGAGAGAGAAACATCGATCAGCTGCCTCCTGCACACCTCCTACTGGGGATGTGCCCACAACCAAGGTACATGCCCTTGACCGGAATCGAACCTGGGACCTTTCAGTCCGCAGGCCGACGCTCTATCCACTGAGCCAAACCAGTTAGGGCAAATTATTTATGTTGCTACTTCATAACTGTAATTTTGCTACTGTTATGAATCGTAATGTAAATATCCGATATGCAGGATATATTTTCATTGTTACAAATTGAACATAATTAAAGCATAGTGATTAATCACAAAAACAATATGTAATTATATATGTGTTTTCTGATGGTCTTAGGCGACACCTGTGGAAGGGTCAATCGATCCCCAAAGGGTCGCGACCCACAGGTTGAGAACCGCTGACTTAGGCTGTCAGGGTAATGCAGGGGTAGAGAGTTTATGAAGACAGGGAACTCAAACTATGAAGAAAAGATGTACTTGATTACCAGATACATTGAAACTATGATAAAAGTCAACAGACAATAATAAGCTACAAAAACAGTTGCCATACCTGATAAAGAGTTAATATCTTTAATATGCAAAGAAGTCTTAAAAACTAATTTTTTTTCTAATTTTTATTGATTTGAGAAACATCAACTTGTTGTTCCACTTATTTATGCTTTCATTGGTTTCTTTTTTTTATTTCAGAGGAAGGGAGAGGGAGAGAAACATCAATGATGAGACTCATCCATCCGCTGCCTCCTGCATGCCCCCAGAATCCAAATTTGATCTCTTGGAACCACTGAACCATTGGTTGCTTCTCGTATGTGCCCTGACTGGGGATGGAACCAGCAACCTTGGTCTATCCAGATGACATTCTAACCAACTGAGATACCTGACCACAGAATAACTAATTTTTGAAAAGACTACAAATAGGCAAGTTTTTTTTTTTTAACTACAGCTTAGAGTTTATAGTACATCTTTTTTTTAAACATTTTATTGATTTTTTTACAGAGAGGAAGGGAGAGGGATAGAGAGTTAGAAACATCGATGAGAGAGAAACATCGACCAGCTGCCTCTTGCACACCTCCCACTGGGGATGTGCCCGCAACCAAGGTACATGCCCTTGACCGGAATCGAACCTGGGACCTCTCAGTCCACAGGCCGATGCTCTATCCACTGAGCCAAATCGGTTAAGGCCGAATAGGCAAGTTTCAGAAAAGCAAGTCCAAATAGCAAAAAATGTTAAAGGGACCAACACTCTTAGTAGGGAAATGCAAATTAAGGTGATAATGAAGGATCTCTGTATATGATCATTAAAAGAGAAGACAAATGTGCTGACACTAATATGAAGGTCTTTTTTGGAAAGCATTCTGTTGTCTATTAAAATTGTACCCCTTCCTGGCTATTGTGTCTCAGTGGATAGAGCATCAGCCAGGGCACTGAAGGGTGGCAAGTTCAATTCCCAGACAAGGGCACAAACTTGGATTGCAGGTTCACCATAGGTCAGGACTCATGTGGAATTGTTGTGTCTCTCACACTGATGTTTCTCTCTCTCTCTCTCTCTCTCTCTCTCTCTCTCTCCCCCTCACTCCCTCCCTGAAAAAATATCTTCTGGTGAGGATTATTTTTTAAAAAGTATATCTCTTTCAAGGAAAATAATAAACCATTTCAATGCAGCAATCCCTCTCTGGGGAATCTGCCCCCAAAGCAGCGCATGTGATTATATAAGGTAATGTGTTGTCTTCTGCATTTATAGGGCACATGCCTGGTTGTGGGCTTGATGCCCAGTAGGGGCATGCAGGAGGCAGCCAATCAATGATTCTCATCAAATTGATGTTTCTATCTTTCTCTCCCTCTCCCTTCCTCTCTCTGAAATCAATATATATATTTTTTATTATTTTTTTAAAATATGTGAGTGGTTGTCAAACCAGTGTGGCTCAGAGGTCGAGTGTCAACCTGTGAACCAGAAGGTCACCGTTTGATTCCCCATCAGGGCACATACCTGGGTTGTGGGCTCCATCCCCAGTGGGGGACGTGCAGGAGGCAGCTGATCAATGATTCTCTCATCATTGATGTTTCTGTCTCTCCATCTCCCTTCCTGTCTGAAATCAATAAAAACATATTAAAAAGGTATATTGTGGCCCTAGCTGGTTTGGCTCAGTGGATAGAGCATCGAAATATGGACCGAAGGGTCCCGGGTTTGATTCAGGTCAAGGACATGTATGTACCTTGGCTGTAGGCTCCTCCCCAGCCTCGGCCCTGGTCAGGGCTCGTGCAAGAGGCAACTAATCGTTGTGTTTCTCTCACATTGATATTTCTCTCTGTCTTTCCCTCTCTCTTCCACTCTCTCTAAACATCAGTGGAAAAGTATCCTCGGGTGAGGATTAAAAAAACAAACAAACAAAAAGATATATGTGTGAATGGTTCAACAAATTGAAATATCCATAACCTGGAATTAGGCAGCCTTGAAAAGCTGTTAACCCCATACCACCTGACCCAGAAGGACTAATGTGCTGGGGTTTTGTTTGTTTGTTTTTGGTTTTAAAGCAGAATTCATTTTTTAAAAAATCCTTACCTGAAGATATGTTTTTATTGATTTGAGAGAGAGAGAGAAACATTGATATGAGAAGCATCAGTTGGTTTTATCCCGTACATGGCCTGACCCGGGACCCAACCCACATTCTAGGTATGTGCCCTGACCAGGTATCAAATCCGCAACCTTTTGGTGTATGGGATGAGATTCCAACCAACTGACCTACCCAGCCAGGCTGTGGTGGGGTTTTTTTTGTTTAATATTATTTTTTGCCCAGCCAGTTTGACTCAGTGGATAGAATGTCGGCCTGTAGACCGAAGGGTCCCAGGTTCGATTCCCATCAAGGGTACATGCCTGAGTTTTAGGCGCAATCCCTAGTAGGGTGTGTGTGTGCAGGAGGCAGCCGATCAATGATTCTCATCATTGATGTTTCTATTTCTCCCTCTCCCTCTCTGAAATCAATAAAAACATATCTTAGCCCTAACCGGTTTGGCTCAGTGGATAGAGCGTCAGCCTGCGGACTCAAGGGTCCTAGGTTCGATTCCGGTCAAGGGCATGTACCTTGGTTGTGGGCACATCCCCAGTAGGGGGTGTGCAGGAGGCAGCTGGTCAATGTTTCTCTCTCATCGATGTTTCTCTCTATTCCTCTCCCTTCCTCTCTGTAAAAAATCAATAAAATATATTTTAAAAAAACAAACATCTTAAATAAATAAATATATAAATAAATAGTGTCACTTTGACATAAGGATTGTTTTTAAATTTTTATTTTTTTAATCCTCAAGCGAGGATATTTTCCCATTGATTTTTTTAGAGAGTGGAAGAGAGAGGGAAAGTCAGAAATGTGGATGTGAAAGAAACACATCAATTGGTTGCCTCCTGCATGAGCCTGGATCAGGGCCCGGTCAAGGGTGGAGCCTACAATCAAGGTACGTGCCCTTGACTGGAATCGAACCCAGTACCCTACAGTCTGCAGGTCAACACTCTATCCACTGAGCCAAACTGGCTAGGGCTGTTTTGTTTTTAAATGAGAAAAGAAGCAGGTAAATAGACTACATTACATGATTTCCTCTTTGTAAAACAAACCTCATATATATGTGTGTATGTTTGCATATGGTTATATGATTATAGAGAAAGCTATGGAAGGATACCCAGCACACGTTATCAGTGATAATGCTGGAGAGGGAAACAGGAACCTGAAAGTTATCCAATACGTTTTTAATGACCCAATGTTTTCAAAATGTGCTTCATGCTCTAAAAATGTAAGACATGCCCTGTTGCTCACATGTTGCTCAGTGATTGAACGTCAACCTATGAATGGGAGGTCACAGTTCGATTCCGGTCAAGGGCACATGCCTGGGTTTCAGGCTCTATTCCCAGGAGGGGTCATGTAGGAGGCAATCGATCAATGATCATTGATGTTTCTCTCTCTCTCTCCCTCTCGGTTCCTCTCTGAAATTAATTAAAACATATTTTTTAAAAAGTTAAACGCACCTACCATATAATCCAGTCCTTCCATTCCAAAATATTGTCGATGTAAGCATGTCCAAACCAGTATGAGAGTTTGAGTTCTATTTGAGCCAAATTGACAACATACTGGACAAAAAAGGTGCTCCCTTGGGGGTGGTCACACCTCTGAGGGGTCTGCGGATTACCTCTAGCATTTCCAGGGTGTGTGAACCTAAATGCACAAGAACAATGGACAGGGCTGGATTATGGCAAAGGTCAATCTCTCATAGACCTGGGGGTGACTGCCCACCATGACCTGCCCAATTAGAATTTATGATCAGATCACCCTGTGAGGTTACTTTCCGTTAGATTTATTGCAGTGCCCCTGTTCTGTCCATAGCATTTACCAAAGTGAATGTATGTAGCCACACACATTCAGGTCCATGAATGTTGATAGCCGCTTCATTTGTAACAGTCCTAAACTGGAAACCGCCCAAATGTTCACCAGGTGACTAGCTAAACAAACTGGTATATCCCCATACAGTGGAATACTACTTAGCAATAAAAAGGAATGGCTATTAATTAATACATGCAACAACATGGATGAAACTAAAAATAATTGTGCTGGGGGGGGATGGGGGTTTAATGGAGGGGATGAGGACACATTTGTAATACCTTAACTAATAATTAAAAAAAAATAATTGTGCTTAGTGAAAGAAGTCAGAGAGGAACATGGTGCATAGTGCATGATTCTATTTATATAAATTCCGAAAAATTCAAATTCATCTCTATTGACAGCAAGCAGACCAGTGGTTAGTCGGGGATGGGGAGGTGAAGAGCAGGAGGGTGTGACTACAAGGAGGCCGAGGAAGCTTTCGGGGGTGACGGAGATGTTGATCTTGGTTGTGGTAATGGTTTCACGGGTGTGGTATGTATGTGTTGAAGTCATCAAACAGTACATTTTAATATATGCAGTGTATTGTATGCCGATGATTGTTCTCCATCAAGCTGTTTTTTTTAAAGGGAACAATAGGAGGAAGCAATTACTGGGAAAGTTCTGCCCACAATGTCATCATCTCCACTTGAGGTCCTTATCTAGGGAAGGATTATCTTGGCTTTTGTTTTCATTTTTTAAACCATTATAGGGCTTTAATTTTTGTGTGATTACTTTAAAACATTTCAGCCTAATCTTTTATTACATAGGATTTGATACACACAAAAGGATGTGTGCGCCTTAGGTGAGCTAGGAACTGAGTTATAAATGGAGCACCGTGAAGCTACCACCCAGCCTGAGCGCCAAGATATCACCAATACCTTCTGCAAACTCCTGGGGTCCTTACCCACCCTCGCTCCCCTCACAGGGATCAGCATTTTGCATTTTGTGCCTTTTCTTCTTCTGACCTCCTAGTGGAGTTTTAACACATGTGTATCACCAAACAATACCTAGTGGAGTTTTAACACACGTGTATCACCAACATGTGTATAACACATGTGTAGTTTTATTGTAATACTGTATGTAGTTGTATGCAATTCGTTGTTTTAATACATCTCTGAGATGCATCTGTGTTGTTGCATTTTGTGTACTAGGGTATTTTCAATACTCCTGACAGCCCTGCAGGCAGACTTCGATATGATACACCCAGGAAAATACGGCTCAGCAAGCTCACCCTGTCCAGGGGCCTGACTCCAGAACTTCCTCTTCACAACACGCTCATTCCTTCCCGCGGAAAGCATGCGCCAGGCAGTGACCAGGTGCTGGGCGTGGCACAGTGAACGTGGCCCCTTTCTGGCTGTCACCTCTCCTCTTGACCCTCACCAGACTGGTGTGTGGGCCAGCTTCCTGGACACCTGGGCTGCCCCCACCTCTGCACTCACCCGCGGAATGGCTGAGAGGTGGATCCGACCCATCCCAGAGGCTCCTGCCCAGGGAGGGCACCCTGCTGTGCCACTCCAGGAATTTGTCCTCATGGACACTTGACGATGCCACTGGCATTTGGCATATTTATTGCAGCATCGTTTTTAATTCCAAAATAGTAGAAACAAATTCCCATCAGTGGGGATCTAATTACAGTAAATTAACACGTTATGGGAAACCCATATAATGGAATACCACTGTCTATTAAAAAAAAGAGGGGGGGAGGCACGGATCATGGAAAGCTCTCCAGGACAGATTTTATTTCTATTTATTTAAGTTTTTATTGATTTTTAGAAAGAAAGTAGAGGGAGAGAGAAATGCCCTGACTGGGAATGGAACCTGTAGTGCGTGAGAGAACACCCACCCAACCGAGCCACACAGCCCAGTGCACCAGGCAGATGTCAGAGGGCGGGGTGCGAGCAGTGGCAGTGTTACGGGGGAGAAGGAAGCCGAGCTGGCTATAGTTTTAGTCTTTCAGCACATATTTCCTGGCTTCTTGATCTTTCTTTGGCTCGTGGCCAGCCTTTGCCATCAGCAGATATTTTATCAGGGTGCTAGCTTTACCAGACCCCCTCTTTGGCACATTAGACTCCGAGAGTCCCCAACCACCTCCCCTTTTCAGACCAGGGTGGCAGCCCAGGATTGGGGAGACCTGCCATGAGGGGGTACTGTCTGCCGCTGGTGCTCTGTGGGCAGATCCGTCCTCCCTGGGTGCTGGAGGTCAGGAGCCTCTGCTGACGGGGGCTCTCACCTCCACTACTGGCTCCTCAGCTAACCCTCCACCTCCACCAGGAAATCTAGGAAATGGAAAGTCAGGAAGCGCAGCCCTCTCAGCCCACCATTCGGCCTGAGATGCTCTCCACGCGGGGCAGCCTCACCTTCCGAACCCGCCCCTTTAGCGATCAGAGCACACGGGCGAGGGCGCCCAGTGCACAGGGCTGTCTCCCCATTTCAGCTGAGAAACCCAGTCACTAGGAGTCGGAGCAGCTGGGGCTCTGCTGGAGCGTGGACAGGGGGACAGTGTGACAGCCATGGGATTGCCTGGGGCCCCTGCCAAGGGCTGTAGGGACTGGGCTGCTACGGGCTCTTCACATAAGCTGCCATCTACCCACCACTCACTCATCAAATACCTCCAACAGCCCACCAGGTGTAGAGAAGTTCTTCTTTAAACACTCGCCTTGAATATCAGAAGGGACATGGTGGGGCCAAACTCCAGCTCTTCTCCCAGACCCAGGGCCTCCCACCCGCTGCAGCCCTGGTTCTGCCTTGCACCACCCTCCTGCAAGGCCAGCTGCCACCTTCCTCTTGGCTTCACTGGCCCAAAGGCTCTGGTCAGTGCCTGGGGCAACAGGAGGCTCCCAGGGCAGGGAGCCCTTAAGAGGGAAATGGGGGAGAAGGACAATGCAAAGCACGAGGTCAGCCATGGGTGGTGGGTGTGGCCTCGAGATGCAGGCTCCAGCAAGGACAGCCCCCCTGACGGGGGCTGGTCCCCAGTTGGTGGTGGCCCCTCTGTGAGCCCAGGGCCTGGCACCGAGAAGGCCAGGGAATACTTGTTAATGGACACTGGCTAATCTTACCAAAGTCTGGCTTGATGATGGTGCCCACATTCCGTCGGTCTGGCCTGACCAAGCACACGATACCCAGGCAACAGGTGGGAGGCAGGGAGGCAGCCCCAGGCCTGGGCAGGAAATGCAGGTCATGGCAGGCTGGCTCCATAGGCCTCCCCGGGGCTGGGTGGCTCTGGGAATACTTGTAAATGGACACTGGCTAATCTTACCAAAGTCTGGCTTGATGATGGTGCCCACATTCCGTCGGTCTGGCCTGACCAAGCACACGATACCCAGGCAACAGGTGGGAGGCAGGGAGGCAGCCCCAGGCCTGGGCAGGAAATGCAGGTCATGGCAGGCTGGCTCCATAGGCCTCCCCGGGGCTGGGTGGAGCAGCCCTCGGCCGGCCCCTCCCGGCCCCTGGCTGCCTGGTGAGAGCCTACATGAGGCAGGGCTGCCCCGATGAGAGTCCCTTTGTCCAGGCGCCTCCCATCTACATGACTCCTTGGTCACACTGCAGAGCTGAGGGCTCATCCTGAGCAAGGGCGCCCAGAAAGACAGTGCCCGAGAGGCCCGGTGGGAACCATGGCCGCCCCGTCACTGATGCCTGCACCCCCATGAGGGAGCCACCACAACACGGGCGGCCTGCCCTTCCATGGTGCAGCCCAGCACCTGGTGCACCCCCAGCACCTGGTGCCACAGAAAGACGTGCTGGAGGGAGGGAGGAGGAGGAGGGAAGTGAGGCCATGGCTTAGGTCCCCCTGACCCACAAGGACCAGTGGAATAAAGTCAAACCAGCTTTAATACCAATATAGTTCTCTCTTTTAAATATTATGTTCCCAGGACGGGGCAGGGGCAGGGGCAGGCTCTCGGCAGGAAGAATGGAAAGGAAATGTGGAACAACATGGAATGGATCGTCCAGGGCCTGCCTCCACCCAACCCAGGGCTTCTGCCACGGGCACTAGAACCTGGGCTGCTGGGGGGAAGGCGAGGGGGGCGGGGAGGTGACAGCAGCTTCCTCTGGTCCAGTTATTGCAGGGATGAGGGAGGGGCGCTCCTCCCCTCCGCAGCCCCCAAACTTCTCAGGATTACTTCTGCCCTTCAGCCCAGCAGAGCTGGGGGCCTGGGCTCCGCTGACCTCGGAGGGGTCCCTCTGTCTAAATGGACTGCAGCTAAGGCATGGGAGGGGGTGCCACTGGCTAGGCCTGCACTGCTCAGTAGCTGCTCTGATGGCCGGTGAGGATGTAGAGGTTGCTGTGAGCCCCCGGGTTGTCGGTGGGAATGCTCTCCAGGATGATGTCTCTGGAGGCGAGAGAAGCGGAGGTGAGCCGGGCAGAAGACACGTGGGCACGGCCACCTGGCCTCGGGCCTCTGAATGGGAGGCCAAGCGCCATGTCCTACCTGTGGGCCCCAAGCACTCGGAAGACCCTCGTCTCATCTGTGATCTCCTGGGTCACCTGGGAAGAAAAGGGACACTGAGGCCACTCTGGCGAGTCCCCTCCTAAGAGGTGGACACAACTGGGTCAAGGGCAGCCAGGTTCGGCTCCTGAGTCCCACTCACCTCGTTGGTGTCCAGGCTGCGGCCTTGCATTCCGTGGCTCCAGAAGGCCAGCACGCTGTCCTGCAGACACACTGGGAGGGGCCGGGCTGCCATCAGCCCTGGGCCTGCCCTGAAGATGGGGGCTTCCCCGGGCAGAGGGGTCCTCGAGGACCGCAGGTGACCAGGACGACCCTTAAGAGGGGCTAGGGGACCTGACTCCTTGCCCTGCTGCCAGCTGGAAGGCCGGGGGTACTCCAGCCCCCACCTCTGTCTGGCTCACTCACCCACAGTCTCAATGGGGAAGTCGAAGGTCAGCACGGGAGCCAGTGTGGCCGTAGGCTCGCCCAGCAGGTTGACAATCCGCACGCAGCCTGCACAGGGAGAGGGCTGGTGGGCGGGGATGGGGTGGTTCCCTTCTGGGGAGGTGACCCAGTTGGCCTCCCTCACCACCCCGCCTCCCCTGTCCGAAGCCCTAACCCCAGGGCACTCACGGTCAAAGCAGACGAGAACTGTGTCCCTGTCCACCTGGACCACCTGCTGGGCCGAGCCTGGGAGCCCCTCTATAGGCAGAGAAGGGAGACATGAGCCACCAACCCTGCCGTGGCCCTGACAGGAGGACATGGGGGACAGTCTCAGCCAGCCCTTGGCCCCAAGTGCATTTCATTCGTACAACCCGGGAGGTCAGGATGCCTAACCTCCCTGCACAGCTGGGGAACGGAGGCTCAGAGAGGCAGCGGGGAGCCCGGGGAGCGGGGAGGGTGGGGCTCCGGAGTCAGGAGAACCAGGCTCTGGGACCCAGTTGCTGTGTGACCTTGAATCTCTGAGCCTCGGTCTCCTCATCCGTAACACAGGCATGAAGATGCCAACCTTGCAGGGCCGTTGTGGGGATCGAGAATGAAATCCTGTGCGTAAGACCCCTGGCTCGGAGCCTGGGACACAGCAGGGCCTCCGTTCAGGGCACTTTCCTCCTCCTCTGCCCACTGCCACCCACTCTGCTCCCAGGAGCTGCCCCCACACGTGTCCTGCTTCCTTGCTCAGAATGGAGCCTCTGAGCCAACTTGCCCGGTTGGTCTGTGCCTGCAGCGCCTGCAGCGTTGGTCAGTTTTTTCTTAGCTGCCAAGCCCTTTGGTCTAAGGCAGCGGTTCTCAACCTGTGGGTCGCGACCCCTTTGGCGGTCGAAAGACCCTTTCACAGGGGTCGCCTAAGACCATCCTGCATATCAGATACTTACATTACGATTCATAACAGTAGCAACATTACAGTTATGAAGTAGCAACAAAAATAATTTTATGGTTGGGTCACAACATGAGGAACTGTATTTAAAGGGCCAGAAGGTTGAGAACCACTGGTAAGGACATCTTCTAGGGAGCCCAGCTGCAGGGAGGCTGGGCGCTCAGGGCCCTCAGGTTTCCGTGGACGTGCACACACACACACACACACACCCGCCCAGCCCAACATTACAGTTATGAAGTAGCAACGAAAATAATGTTATGGTTGGGTCACAACATGAGGAACTGTATTTAAAGGGCCAGAAGATTGAGAACCACTGGTAAGGACATCTTTTAGGGAGCCCAGCTGCAGGGAGGCTGGGTGCTCAGGGCCCTCAGGTTTCCGTGGACGCGCGCGCGCGCACACACACACACACACACACCCGCCCAGCCCTCCCGCTTACCGGGTGGTATGAGCACATCAGGTGTCAGGCCGGCCTCCAAGGGCAGCACATGGAACAGGACACGGCAGCCAGGCCCCTCAGGGCCCTCGGCCCCCACACACACCTGCGGTAGCTCCTTCCCATCCAGGACCAGCGGCTCCAGCATCCCTGCTGGGCTGGGCAACAAGGGGCTGGAGAAGTTCTGGGGGCAGCAGGGGTGCTCAGGTCTTCATTTCTTCCCCCAGCCCCCCTGTCCCCTGCTGG